ATAGATAGATAGATAGATAGATAGATAGATAGATAGATAGATAGATAAGGCAGGTAGGCAGACAGACAGACAGCAGTGACTATGTTCACCTAGACACTTGACCCCAGAAGTGCCACAGTCCAGATCTTTACTAGTGTGGAAGGACTTAACTTCTCAGTTCCCTTTGGAGACTTCTCAGATCTGCATTTCCCCCAGTGACTCAGCATACCACATTATATCACTTCTCATTCAGTAAAATAAGCTGTCCATGACCAGGGGTCCAGCTTTCCATGAAGAATTTCTATGTTCCTCTCATACAGCTCCCATGTTTCTCACCCCATAACAGAAGCCTGTATCTACTTCCAACCCAGCCAGGAGTTACACTGACTTACTGACTCGCGATGCTCTGCTACTTGTATCAGAGCTGATGGGCTTAGTCTGTTAGAGGATAAAAAAGAAACCAACACAAATTCCATTCTCAAATAGTATGGACGACATCATTTTCTGGTTAGTAGCAATGTAACTTTTTGGTTGACACAATGCCTTAAATATGGAAATATGAGCCAGATCATTGTCATCCTGAACCTTAACTACACTCCTCTCTCCTAAGTCTGCTAAAGCATAGCTTTTCGTGAATTGATGAATTAATGTACTTCAAGACAACTCCACAGCCCTTACCGTGAGTCCCAGTGTCAGCTCTCTGTCGGCCAGATCCAGTGGCCTGCAGATGGCGCGTGGAAGTCGACCCAGAGTGCTTGTTTATCAGTCTTGCTTCTCTGCTCCCTGCAGGGCCTGGCAGTTCCTTGTTTTGGTTTTGGTTTCATTTTGTAAAAAGCGGAAATAGAATTATGTACTCACAGCTCCTTGAACACCAGCAAGAAGCTTTCAGTGAGAATGTGAAATGATTCTTGGATCTGAGGGACATACCCCTGCTTTCATCACTCCATAAAGGACAAGCTAAGAGGCTTTCTTCTATCTTATTTCCATTCTGTACTGTATTTCTGTAGTTTGCTCCTCTGACCATAATGTGTATATGATACGAAAACTGGCCCCCATGCTCTCCAGGAAACTGCACACACTAGACTAGAGAAGTCCTCCCGACCTCCATGGGAAGAGCGTTGAATCCTGGGACACACTCTCTCCAGAATGCTTCCTACTATCCAGATACCATTAAAAAAAAAATCCAAAGAAAAGGCAGAGTGAGCCATGGGTTCTAGGTCTAGAACCCCAGAATCTGGGAAAATAAAGGTCCCTGCCAAGAGAACAGCGGAAACAGATTATTCTGGGTTATATGTGATCCTGGTTGTCGAGTTCTTGGTCATGTGACTGACTAAGCAGTCACAGAGAAAGACCTACTAGATACCTAGAGCTGTGCAGCTAAAACTCCAGCTGATGTAGCCAGGAAGATTTGGATCTGGTGTTACCATTGGCTCAAAGGTGCTGAGCGCCGTCCTCTGGTCCCCTAGACGAGGGGCATGGGCTCTGAGGCACGACGTCATCTTGTCAGCCCCAGAGGAGTGTTATTTAACGGGGTAGTACCATACACGTGGAATTTAAGTTTGCCTCCTTGAATTCTAGAGTGTCATCGGTAGGCTGGAGCTCTCACCCTCTTCCTGTAACTGGCTTTCCAGTTACAACCTTGTCCTCCAGTCCTATCTAGTTTTGTTTCTTATGTGCAACTGTACTGTCCACAGGTCAGTTTTCTTTTAGTGAGGTTTCTGACCATTTTTCTGAGAATTGGTTTTGAAATCCTACACTGGGGACCCACTACAGGGGTAACCAACCCAGGTAATACAGGAGAATTGTAGTCTTAGAATATATGAACTTTCTCAACTACAATTTTAAATATCAACTTTCTTTTTGTTCTTTGAGTTTACTGTGAGTTATAGTAAGTTGTGTTTTGTTCCAGAAACTCAATATGCTTTCTTCCTTCCACAGAGAAAAATAAGTAAACACCTTGCCTTCTACCCTTTTGAGTCCTGAAGTAAGTCCTAGCTTCTATATAACAGTGTGATTCAGGTAGAGACAAAAATCATGATTGAAAGCCAAATGCACACTACTTCCTGCTGCCAACACTGTTGATTCACTTATAGAATACTGGTAATCTCAGAAGACCCCACAGGCCTCTGCAGTGAGAGACTGGTCATATATGGGTCCTGTGTTTCCCAACATGGTGTAGGAGCAAATAGATGTCAGTTCTCTGCAGAGGGACCATATGCGGACCTGTTGGGAGCCGTATCCTTCCATCAGATACACAACTGATAGACACATATTCTCCAACCAGAACAACATCATAGAAAGTCTCAGTACTCTATGAGCTGTCTGGAAACCAGGTTTGTCCTTTAAAGGTCACGATGGCCTGTTTTTGTAAATGGGTGCTTGCCGAAGAAGGATGTTCCAGTACCTCCTTCCCTGCTTCAGTTAGCCCAGGTGGAATATGCATACCCAGCTGCCTTTCCTACTGGTACTGGTCCTTTCTTGCCCCTGTTCCCTTGTTATGGATGTGATGTGACTCCCATGCCCAGTCCTAACTCCCAGCAGTTGATGAGGTGGTTATTTTCTCATCCTGCAACAGAGCTGACTATGGTGGAGACAGCCCACCCTCCGCAGTGAGTGGTGAAGCTGCACCCTCCCAGCACAGAGCCAGCACCAGCTCAGAGTGGTGTGATGTTTTTACCTGTTCTCTGGGGGGAAATGTTCTGGGCCCAGTATTCATCTGCTCCCAGTCTCCATACAGCCACAGTTGCCTTGCCTGAATGTCACACTTACAGCGCCTTTCTCCCTGGATCTTGTTTTTGTTTTTCTGACAAGGCACCTGACAACCAGCAGCAAAGAGGCCAGTTTGTTTAATTTAAATACACTGCGGCAAAGTGAAGGTAATCGTCCACACAGGCCATCTGCTGCCTGGCAGGTATCCATGAGTCAGGGAAAGAGATGGAGACTGAAATGTCCTCCGTCCTGTTGCCATGATAGCAGCCTGGGAGGGAGGTGGGGGATGTGAGGAGGGTGGGGCTTGCTCCCAACAGTATACTTTTTACCACAGACCTCTCTGGACTTGGCTACTTGACTATAATATGTACCAAAGAGATTTTAAAATCTTATCTGTTCCATATGGAAGAGATGAGAAAGAAGTCCTATTTATGGAGTCCCTACTGTGTGCCAGGCACCATACTGGGGATGCCTAAAGACAGCCAAGAGCTGTGCCCTGGTAGTTTTTACTAAAGAGAGTGCCCTTTTCTCCCAGCAGCTGGTCCTCTGGTGAGTCTGTCTGCCTCTGTCTGAGTTCTCTTTGCTCTGGGGAAGGATTGCTGTCCTCAGCTCACCTTCTCTGGCAGTCTCAGTACCTGTTTTGGCTCCAGTATTTGATCTGTGTTCTAGATAAGGGACTAAGTCATCATCTGCATTCTCCTTTCCTACATTTCTTGTACTTGCTGGGGATGAAATTGATTCTGCTAAACTAAATCACAGTAGTGGCTGAGGTTTTGGCACAATGGTAGAGGGCCTAAATTCCAGTCTAATAGAGGGAATCAGAGGAAATCAAAGTTAGCTTCAGTCATGAGAAGTCTTGACTGATTCATGTTCCTTCTGACCTCAGGACTGTGGTAATATGATGCAAACATACTCGGGCTTCTCCTAGCCATTCGAGGCCTTCTACTCATCTGTTTATAACCTGGTTGACCACTGTGAGTCTCAGTCTGTGCATTAGGTCATAAGCCCCCTGACTACATAAACATATTTTCCCTGTACTTTTCTGGAACCTAATGGGAAACTTGCTTGAGTTTTCCATGTCTTCGCTGGTTAGAAAATGAGAAGCAGCAGTCTGGACTGCCGCTCCGAGGATAATGTGCCGCTAACTCTACATTCCCAGCAGAAGAGCTCTAAGGGGTATCTGCATTCAGAGAACCTGAGTTACAGGGCATTTATCATCTTTGCTTATTGGTTAGATATGTGATTGGCCATGCTGGATGCCAGCCTTCGCTCTGGGTTGTGTTACAAGTGCAGTGTCAGGAATCATGGAAGTTCTGCTGTGTGTTGTGGCCGATGGCCTACCTTTCTTGGAGTCATCCCATCAACTCTTCCACTTTTGCTTCACTCTCAGATTCCCCAACAGCTCCCAGATACCCACTGTGTTGTTCATTATAGACTAGTTGCTCTTAACAGAGAGGCAGGCAGTCACTGTGGAGAGGGCCTGCCTTGACCATGTATGTCCCTGCTATTGAGACAAGGTGCTAGGGTACCATACTGTAGTGCCACAGCTGGGTTCTTAGTGTCTCCTGGCCTCAGCCTGCAAGTACCTGCAAGGTGAGTGAGATACAGCAGGTCGAGGGGATCACTCACTGTCCCACCGTGCACCACACATCCAGTGTGCTTACACATGATCAGAAGGCCCTTTCCTCCGACTGTCTTTCCAAAGCTAGTCCTATACCATGCAGGGCAGCCTGTTCTCTGTGCTTCTCATCAGCTTCACTTCTTCAAGGCCTCTGTATGTAACATCTCTGGTATTGGCTGGATGTGTGAGGAAGGTTAGCTATAAGCAAAACATGTCACCAGCTGACCTTGCGACAGAGGTGGTTGCAGAGGAGCATGCTGTGCTCTGACAAGGGTTTCTACTCAAGCCAAGCAGGGCCACTGGCAAAGATGCAGTGATTTGGTAAAGATGATGGATGATAGCACTTTTTATATGAAAAATACCTCAGATGTCATCTACTATCCTCCTGTTTATAGAAGAGAAAGCTGGACCCTGGAAATGACAGTGTGTGTGTGTGTGTGTCTGCGCATATGCGTGTGTGTGTTTGAGAGAAGCCAAGTTTCTAACTTCTATTTCCAATGACCCACTCTGCCTCCCTGTGTGCTAACCTGGGAAGAGCTGGGAGTGCCTCTCAGAGCCTGCAGCTATCCTTCTTTGGGTATAGAGCAGTGCTACAAGGTGCTGGTAATCGTGGACAAAGAGCCAGAGACTGAGTATCTGAACAGGCTTTTGGACTCAGGGACCTCAGTTTCTCACATTAGGGAGATATTTTCCTGGTTATCTTTTCTTGCTTTCTTCCCTCTTCTGGGCCTCTTTCTGGGGGCCCTCAGCCTATTATGGGGCCTCTGGTTCTAGTCTTTCCCCCAAATCCATCTGCCCTCTTTATCAACCAAATTCCAACTGTGATTACTCTATTAAAGTAGTTACATCAAAAACAAAACCACAGTAAGTTTGATGCATTATTTATTGCCATACAGTGTCATCCCAAAACTGTGGCTTATAAAAATATATCACCGGATGTGGTGGTGCATGCCTGTAGTCCCTCCAGCCTGTGCCATATCAAACTGTCTCAGAAAAGCAAAAAGGAGAAAAGCAGGGGAGAGGAAACAATATCACTCATCCCATAGCTGCTATGGACCAGGAACCCTGCAGAGGCTCCAACAAGGCTACAGCCAAAGGTCACCCAGGCGACAGTCACCATCTTTTATAACCTGACCTCAAAAGTGGCCTATGTCCCACTTGTCTGATTCATTAGAAGCAAGTCACTTGCCCAGCTAACATTCCAAAACCAGAGACTATTCCGGGATGTAAGTGGCAGGGTCACTTTGGACTGTCTGAGGTCTGGCTACCACATTTAGTTAGCTAGTTAGAGAATTTCACGAAAAGATTTTCCAACGATTGATCGATTTATTACCCAGTGGGGGTTATTGTCTGCCCTAGCTACTTTCCTACAGAAGGAAGTGTGGGAAACCAAGAACCTGTGCTAAGCACAGTGGTGTAGGGATGGAATGTGAGAAGACAAGCAAGAGCCATGCTCCAGGTCTC